ACGTGGTGTTGAAGAAGATGGAGCTCTGCAGCTCGATTGTGGTTGGGGTGGGCCCGTGCTTACGCGAACAAACTTCTGATAGGTGACTGTATATAGTTATAAACGACAGTATCCACCAAAACGATAGAGAAATTGAACTCATCAATTCTCCTCAAAACATTCATATCAACCCACCAAAGTCACACCAAACACACACCCCATTCCCATCTTGAAAACTCGCACGTGGGGCACTGAATCCTTCCCGTCGTCTCCACCCGCATTCAGTTATATCAACCTCATTTCCGCCCCCTCCCCAAACCCTCCACCACATAAACCCACAACAAAAAAGAAAAAAAAGATCCTCCAACCATGTCCAAACTCATCGTCATAATCGGCATAACGGGCAACCAAGGCTCCTCCGTCGCTCACACCTTCCTCTCAACACCCACCTGGCGCATCCGCGGCCTAACCCGCAACCCTTCCTCCCCAACCTCCCAACACCTCTCCTCCCTCGGCATCGAAATGGTGCAAGCAGACCTGCACGACCCCTCCTCCCTCACCACCGCTTTCCAGGGTGCAAACCTAATCTTCAGCGTCACAGACTTCTGGACCCCGTTTTTCACGCCTTCAAACGCTGCTCGCGCCGCGGAGCTCGGGGTGCCTATTGGAAAATATGCGTATGAGCTTGAAGCTGAACAGGGCAGGAATATTGTGGATGCGGTGGCGAAGGTTGTCGCGGGGTTGGATGCGGTGGGATTTGTGGCGAGTACGTTGTGTAACGCCCGCGAGAGCAGCGGGGGTAAGTATAGTGAGTTGTGGCATTTTGATAGCAAGGCAGATGTTTTTCCAGCGTATGTAAAGGAAAAGTATCCGGAGTTGGCGGAGAAGACGAGTTATCTGCATACGGGGTATTTTTATACGAGTTGGAGGTATATGCCTAATCGGTGGTTTGCAAAGGTATGTTGTCACGTGGGAAGAGGTGGTGGTGAAAGAATTGCTGATGAAAAGATACGCATAGTTGCCGGATGGCTCGGTTCAGATGCAGTCTCCGACTTCCCCAGACGTGCTGATTCCACATCTTAACCCACGGACAGATGTTGGCCCTTTTGTACAAGCCATGTTGAAGCTGCCTCCAGGGTCGACGGTCATGGCTGCGAGCGAGTGGTGCACATGGCCGGATTGGATCAAGACTTGGGGCGAAGTAACTGGGGTCGAGAATAGTTACAAGCAAGTTAGCGTCGAGGATTTCGACAAGGAAATTCCAGGAGGTGCAGGTAAGGAGATTGGAGAGATGTTTGAATTTTCGAGTACTTGGGGGTACAATGCGAATCAAAAGGATACGTTGATGACGTGGGATCTGGAAAAGGTGAGAATGGAACGCTTTGTTGCGTGGTTTGGAGTTGTCGGCTAACGATTGATTGGTTTTTAGATGGGCGTACACGTCCCGACAATGAGCTTAAAGGAATACTGTAAAAAGGAAGATTGGGTTGCAGCGGGCATACTAGCACCCTAATTATGAACTTCAAAGGTCAATTCTTGCATGGCGAACCTGGCATAAGTTTCAGTAGTCATTTGAAATCGAATTAGCAAAGCAGTCAAACCTCAGGAATCATCATTCATTCAAGTCACACATGTCTAATCTAGTACGATACCACACACAGCCCCTAAGCATGTCATTATACAAACACAAGATTCGTACCTCCATTAAGCCGATCCTCCACTCTACGACCCAAAATCCATCTTGAGCGCAATCTTGGGCATTCCATCATCCTCCCTATTAACTTCCTGTCTCCTAGGCCCTTGCCCGCTCTTCAACACCCCTTCCATAAAGCTTCTTTGCTCAGGCGTCAGTCCAGTCACCACAGTCCTGAACGCCTGTTGATCGGCACCAGCAATCTCAAGTAGCCTTGCCGCTGTTTCCTGGGTTGCCTTTGGTTCATTCTGTGCGCGTGATAGCAAGGCAGGAATGATTATTTTGCACGCAACTTGTCGTTGTGCTGGCTCTGGAAGAGTTGAGATGAAGCTGACAAGTGTCTGGGCAAGGGTTGTGCGGGACTCCTCGAGGCCTTCTACCTCTGAAGGTATTGCAAGGAAAGAGAGGGTAGGCGGAAGAAGAAACTTCGCAAGACTTGTCTCAAAAGCGCCCTTCTTGGGCAAGAGGAGGAGGGAGCGGCAGCATCCAGCAGCTACCTTGCTGGTGGTGACCGTATTAAGACAATCGAAAAGATCATCAGCAAATCGTTGGATGAGAGGGTCGTTCGGTGTGAGTGCAGATGAAGCAGAGCTCAACAAGATAGTAGCCGTGAGAATAGTGTTCTTCTCACACGCAAGAGCAGCGTCGAATTCCCGCTTTTGGGCATGTCTGAGAATGGCAAGGAATCGCGCCAGCGTCGCACGCAATTGCTTGCCAGTGTCGTCTGTGGCTTCAGCATCTGGCGCAAGACTGCTGATGAAGCGCTTGAAGATTGGCAACGCCTGCGGGATGACTGTTGCTTGGCATTCGCCAGTGCTGACTATGGATGCAAAGATGTGAAGAATGCAAGCATGAAGGTCGGCTTTGATAATGGATGGGAAGACTTGTGCAGCATCCACGAGAGCAGACAATGCCGTTGTGAGCAGAGCAACAGCTTCTTCGTTCATTTCGTGGCGAGCTAAGGATGCGAATTAGCGAACATTCTTCTCAAACAACAAGAGAAACCCTACCTTTAGATTTGCTGTCTTCCAACCCGGGTATTAGACCTGATAGTACTAGTACCATGATCTTGGTCAACTCAAACAACTGGTCAATGTCTTCTGAGAGATGTTCGTCTGCGGATGTGGTTCTATGCAAAGTTAGTGAATTTAGAGCGGTCCGGCTTGTATCCCTTACCCTTGATCCCTCCTTGCAGATGGATGGCCAATGCAAAGGTTTCGTGTGATTTGAACAATGACTGTCTGTATGGTCAGGCCTTCGGTGAGCACCAACCGATCGAGCATGTCCATCGTCTCCGAGAAGACAACTTCTTGGTATATGGCATGTCCGGACACCGAAGGTCGCAGGATCTTTTTCAAAGCCTGAAGTATCTCCAAAATCTGCTCTTTGGATGCCTGGAGATCACCTGGACGGCCTGCAAGGGCCTCAAATGCAAGACCGAACAGCACAAAGAAGAAGGCAACAGGCTCGTCGCGATAGTTGATATGGTCAGCCCTTGGGTTCGGATCAGACTCGGACAGTTCGGTCTTTCCATCAAGTGCGTCAAACACGAACTCGCTATCCTCTTCGATGAGACTAGCAATTGCATCGACAAGGTTGAGCCAGGTGTCCTGATAAAACTTTAACAGGGTTTCACGGTTAAGCGCAGCATAGATGGTATCAAGGCTACCAGAAAGCGACGCAGAACCCATAGAGGAGGTAATGTCGGGTTCGAATCTGAGGCGAGCGTATTCCCGCAGCGATGCAAGCCAAAGAGGTGTCAACTTAGCAATGTGCGGCTTCAGCACGTCTTTAAGGTAAGTCTGCTCGGCACTAGCAATTTGCAACTCTGCCCAGGCCGAGAAAACTGCCATCTTGACCATGACCTGAGCATTTGAGCTTAAACCTTTGAGATCGCCTATTGAGGCAGTCTCAGATTCGCCTAAGCCGTGTTAGTCAAGTATGGGGATGAAGGAAGGGCAGAAGACATACTGGAGAAGTTTTCAAGTGCTGAGACGAGCAACTTGAGAATACGGCCCATTCGATCCACATCTGTTACGATACCAGTCGCAATAAATGTAGCACATACGTTTACAGCTTCAGCTGCAAGTTCTGGTGATGAGTCTGCTGCAAAAGCTGGCGTGAGTGCTGAACCGATCTGGGCTTGGTATTGTTCAAGTAGGGTAACTTCAGCAAAATCTGGATCAGGCGTTTTGCCGAATAGCTATAAAATGAGTTAGTTGACGTTCCACACGCCCAATATATGTGCATACCTTGAGGACTTGGTCAATGATCTTGAGACCGCGTATCCGCAGCTGAACAACGCCCGCAGTAGATGCAGAGAAGGCAATGCGCACGACATCAGCTACCCTTTGCTGTAATGCCATCACACAAGGCGCTTCTTCTCGGAAAGCAGCTTCCTTGCTGACCATTGCAACAAGCTCACTCAAACAGTCCATACCAAATGTCCGGACTTGCCACTTGAGCAGCTCTTGGCTCACTTGTACGCCATCTCCTGACTCAGCACCTGGTGCATTTGACGCAGATGCAAAACCTGCAACTTCCTCGTCCTGGATCTCTGCTGCGCCCGCTTTCGGCTTCTGCTCAATCTTGTCCTGAGTTTCCACCTTTTTCGTCTTTGTCAGGACGGAGTGGCATCGCTGCACCCATGTTGCTGTGTCTGACAGGCCGGTCTGATGTAGCCAATTGCGGATAATATTTCGCACAACTTCATGTTCTGGATCACGGTCAAGTACGTGCCACAGCTGATCCTCTAAACCCGGCTCAGCCACACGTATAATCTCCTCTGTATTACGCCTCATGATATTGTGCAAGCCGTCGATAGCCATATCACGGATCTGTGTTGAGCTACTTTCTACAGATCGCTGTAGATTCTTGACATAGGCCGAGAAGTCCATGTAGCCTGGCGCATAGAGCGAGATATGTTCTTGACAACGCAGACTCTCGATGACAATAAGTTCATCGGCATCGCTCTGAAATAGCCCCACAAGGGTCATGATCAGATCTCTTGATTTTGCGACATCCTGTAGATCTGGCCCCAGTACATTAATATTACTGTCAACACATCGTGCAATAACAGCAGGAGTCGGTATATCGATCTCAATGTTTGAGTATGGAAGAGATGCCGATTCTTCGTTGTGTGTGTCTGCAGCGTACCAATGCGCCAGCATGCCGAGCGTGCTTGTAACATAGCTTGAAAACGATAGGCCGGCAGAGTCAGCGACTCGCGACAGGCTATCCATTGCCCAGAAGTGTACAACTGGATGTGGATCATCGCCAAGAGACGTAAGTATCCCCAGTATGTTCTTGAGATGGAAACCAGCAGCCATCCCACCAAGCTGGGAGTGTATGCAGCCAAGGGCAACTGCATATCCAGAACGAGCATTTGGTTCGCGGTTTGCAACGATTTGATCAACCAAATAATTGACTTCAGTAGTAGTGAGTGCATTTCCAGAGCTGTTACACAGGCGACCTAGGGCCTCTCCTGCAAGGTTTCGAATGAAGGGGTCGGGCAGGATTATGAACAACTATTTGGATCAGCGAAGAAACAGATAATTTGCTGGGATACTCACGTGCAACAGATCCTGCATAACCTTCTCAACCGCTGCTCCTTTGAGACTCCCGGGAGCTGAGCGTGTCTCCTTTACTGCAACCTTCAGTGCGGACAAAACTGCATACGCAATGTTGACCATCATGGCAGTCTTTCTGTTGATATCCCGCTGCAAACTGCTTGCAGAGAGGAAAGACGTCATCTGCTCCAAGATGCTTTCTTGTATCCTAGCAGTCTGCAAGGGAAGACAAATAGCAAACAGTTGAAGTGCTGCATTGACCACCTCAGTGGCTGGCGGATCTGGAAGCTCATAAGACTCGTCTGACTTCCTGATATACAGTGAAATCGAGTCATGTTCGCGAGCTCCACAGATTGGAGAGAGAAGGGTGCGGTCGATAATAGCCTCAGGACCATGTCGGGTGAGCCAGTGATGATGAGTATAGGTCTCTTGCTCGCCTGGGAGAGGTGTAATGTCATATCCGCGGACTAATCCAGTAACACCAAAACCGTGGTTGTCAGCCACCTCCCAGATGCTCTCAAATGTTCCTGCAGCACTGGCAATGGCAGTACTAAATGAGCTTGTGGTATAATTGTCGGGCTCTGCAAAAGAAGCGATCGCAAAGGGCAGCAAGTTGGTCTGTAGTAGCACTTCCGTACTGCTTGCTGGGCTGAGCTCAACGAGCTTGGTGTAACATTGAAGAACTCTCCTCCGGACCATCAGATCAAAATCATAAAGTTGCAATGCTGGCGAGAGCCTTTGTGACATATCATCAGTCGTCTTCTTTGCTGGCAATGTATTCAAGAACAACGTCGTGTTCTGGAGCATTGCGGCCAACCTCTTCGTTACGTCCAATGTCAGGATCCGGCTGTTGAACTCCAAGAACGTTAAGATTGATCCCAAAGCACATTCTCGGACATGTGTCAAGAAGCAGAGCTCTAGGTAGTTTCTTTGAACCATGTTATCTCTGTTGAGTGGCTTGGGTAGCGCATTCTTCCACAACAATAGTAATTGCGATAGATGGATCTTAACAAAGTTTGGCCCCAGGGTCATCAGGCCTCCAATCAAGATCCAGGCGACTTGTATCTGAGTAGAACCGATTCTCAGATCGGAGTTGCTGGCCGATTTTAGTAACGATGTGGCTTGTGAGAGCACCCTTGAATTTACATCCACGGATCCATGTAATGGTTGCGAGGTCGACGTGCTCAGCACAGCGGAGAGACCGTTGGCCAGACCAACGCATTTCCTGGGCGACTGTCGCGGCCCTGCGAGAAGACCAAGTTCTCTGTTAACGCTATTCATGCATATAGTGACAGCAGGAAGTAGCTGTAGAGGACAAGCAAGAACGAAAGCGCGTAGACAAGCGGATGCTGTCACTTGAACAGTGTAACTCGGATGCTGCAAGACTTGAATCAAGGCATCTCGACAGGAGTCTGCGACTACATTGGTAGCCGATCCAAGACTGCTAAATAGAGAAGACAGCGTGCTGAGAGCGCCAATCAGTGTCTGTTTTGTAGGCTCTGGGCGCTCCTTCAACACCTGAGGGTAATCCTTGAGGATATCATTGACCAGAAATCTCACGGCATGCAGTTGTCCAGACTCTCCAAGCAGGCCGCGGCCAACAACACTCTCCAAGATGACTGCGACAAACTTTCGTGTGCTGAGAGTGCGATAGCGGTTCTGTACAATGATGTTGTTGCTGAGAACATCAACAAACAGGCTTCGCGCAATGTCCGAATATTTGCTCTCAATAATGTGCTCGCCTAACCCCTTGATTGTCTTGATATAGCACACCGCAATTCCAGCCCTAGTACGGTTGCCAGCCTGTGGTCGACAGTATTGCGTTGCGAGTAATTTGAGAAGACTCTCAATGGTGAAAGAAAGTTGCATTGCAGACTTCTTGGGCGCAGGTGATTCGGAGCGTTCCATGATGACATCGTCGCCATCGTCATCCCCTGGCTTTTTGCTCTTTCTTTTCGCTGTCTTCGATCGCGTGAGGATAGGAATATCGACCGGTGCGTTCTCGGAGTAGTTCTTTACCAGCGCAGCGCTGATGCACGATGCCACTGCATGTCTCACAGACGACGAAGGGCTGTCTATAATCTTCCAAACTACGTTTTGTAGCTTATCAAAGTCGGTCGAGTTGTCGAAGAATGGTGTGTACCGAATCAACTGCTCCAGACAGTAGCAAGCAGCCGTTTGAACAATATAGGACTTGTCGCTGCCAGCATTGCGAGCCTGTTTCCATGCATCTCTTGCGATCAGCTCATCCGCGTGGGAGCTGACCCCTTTGAACACCTTCCCCACGGCCTTGAACAGCGCTGCCCTCAGACCAGTGTGATTCTGCGCAGACTTGACGAGTCCCAACAATGTCTTTACTGCTAATGGCGACAGTTGAATAGCGCTATCCCCTGCCGCTTCGAAAATGCAGCCCAAGCAATGCGCAGCCGCATGCTTGGTCCTTATATCCTTCTCGCTCTTGCCAGCGGCATTGAGTATGTTTACCGAATCATTGATGGATTCGAATAGCAGCTTCCTGTCTCCCTTTTCGAATATGCCTGCAATCGCTCGTCCCAGGTTGTTTCGAATGACACGCGTGGGTGCGGGGGATGCGAGGTTGACAATCTGGAATATCTCCTTCTTGATGTAGATCTGATGCGCCGATGCGCCATCGCCGTCTAGAGCAGCTACATGACGCGCGAGGTCAGAACTGAAGGTGAGCAGGTACAGGTCCTGCTGCTCGGTGGGGAGGGCGTGGAGCTTCTTGATATCGAGTTCAGGGTTGGTGGGGCTTTCGTCGGCGGCCTGGCCGTTTGTTGCCATGGCTATGTGTGTCCGGCGTGGACCTCCAGTGTCCCGTGGTGAAGTTGTTGGCACTAGCTGCTCATGCCCTGATGAGGCTCGTCATGCCAGATGTCGACTGTGGAGTCGCTGGCGAGTGCATGTGGGAGTTGCGGACCTCCGTCTTGGCAGGGACGATGATCTCCAACTTTTCGGATAGACGCTCCATGTTCCCCAGAGTCAGTTGCCCTACATGTCAGCTCCATTGCGCCGCGCAGTAAGAACTGCAGTCCTCAGCAGTAATGTGGCTAATTGCCCCTGCTGTTATGTGTTGCAGTACAGGGTGCGCATAGTGGACCAGGTGCGGTGTTTGAGCACAAGTCCCGCCTTACTATCAGGCCACTCGTACGGTCGCCCTTGATGCATGCACAATAATTGGGATTCGTTCTGACTCGAAGACAGGAAATGGGCTACGATTAAACACGACAAGGCGAAGAATGATGCTGGTAAATCGAAACAGCGGTCGCTAATGACCCGCGACATCACCAATGCCGTCAAACTCGCTGGGCCAAACCCTGATATGAACCCCCGCCTCGCTCTTGCCATAGCTACTGCAAAGAAGTCGGCTGTACCAAAGGCTTCCATTGAGGCTGCCATTGCACGTGGACAGGGTCTCTCTGCCACCGGCACTGCGCTCGAATCCCTTGTTCTCGAAGCCATTCTCCCGCCATCCATTGCGACTATTATAGAATGCCAGACCGACAACAAGCTGCGTGCATTGGCTGACCTCCGCTTACTAGTCAAGGAAGCGGGCGGCACCGTCTCCACAGTTGCCTTTATGTTTGAAAAGAAAGGACGAATAATACTTCGGAAGAAAGATGGCGTGACCGTAGATGAGGTGCTGGAGCCGGCGCTGGAAGCGGGCGTATTGGATGTAGACGAGGATGCCGAAGGCCGAGTGGTCTTGTACACTGAGCCAGCCATGACGAACAAGACCGCCGAAAAATTGACCAAGGACGTTGGTCTTGAAATCGAGGAGAGTGAGATCATATACGACCCTAATGAGGATACCAAGGTCGCACTGGATGACGAGGGCGCAGCAAAAGAGCTGAGTAATTTCTTGGACGAGTTGCAGGAGGTACAGGGTGTGCAGGGTGTATACATGAACTGGACCAAGGGCAGCATAGCAGAAGAAATGTGGGAAGAGTTGAGAGGAAAGGTGAGCGTGTGATATGCTCCTCGTCTCCACCTAGAATTGTGTATGATACAGTATTGTACGATAATGTACATATCTCCTCAAGCGCATCATGATATCCCAACGCCATCCATGCCATTCCTTGTGCTCTGATGCTTCATAGTCTCCCGGATCTGCAATATTGTTGCGACTCTGTTCCTTTTTCTTTTCTCATCCTACGGTCTGCATGTCATGACGCATTCCATGTGCGCAAGCATCGCCCTCTGGTATATTCCGCTCATTCTTCCCTAGTCTGGCCGCCCATTTCCCTCAGCCTCTCCCTCTCCTCTCTCCTGCGCTTGTTTTCCAGATTCCTCGCCTTTATCCTCTCCAGTTCCTTTGCTATCTCATCGCGGTCATACGGAATCTTGTGCGTCTGGCCCGGCTTCGGCCAAAAATCAGGAACCGTGAATTTGCCGTCAAGATTGGTACCGAAGTAGTACATTATACTGATTGGGAAGAGAATATACATTCCAAACTAGAGGTACCGAGTCAGTTCAATAGATCCGGGTCCAATTGGGGCGGCGGGAGGTGGTGCGGAGTGAATGGCATGGTAACGAAGGCGAGTCTGGATGCGGCGCACATGATCATTGCGTAAGAAAGGCGTACCTTGAAGACCTCGAGATTTGGACCTGCCATATTTGCGGTGTTACGACAAGGAGCGTGGCTTTGCGAGGCGTCTGGCGAAGCTAACCGGGCGGCTTGGGGTGGAGTGATGATGGAGTCCAAAGAATCTCAGATCTCTGCTCGGCGATGGTTCGGTGATATCTCTCGCAATGGAGAAATCACAAGGGCTCGATCTAATCTTCAGCCCTACATTGTCCCCACCACTTGGAACTTGGGGTAAGCTAGCAATAGAGCTTCACATGCGTGCGATAGATAGACACAAGCTTCGTCCACGATACTTCTTCGTATCTTACCATGTCTACACCGCGTCTAGCACGGAAAGCGAAAATTCTGAAGTCCGACATGCATTCTCCCCTCTCTTCAAATAGAATAACACATAATTTCCTACCCGGATGATCCAATCCCTCTCCGCATTCTAAACCTCGGCTCAATCCATACCTCCCATCCCCATTCTCCACGCGAGCAGCACAACCTCTCCGCACTATCAAAGCATCTCACACCCATACACTTCTGTCTCCGGAACCCACTATCTCTGTCCCTTCGCAGACCACGCCCAAAAGTCACAATGGCCTCGGAAAGTGCCATCCAGATCGAATACCGCGGTAAAACCGCAACCATCACGCTCAATGCTCCCAAAAAGCTCAACGCCCTGGGCGCAAAAGAATACTACCAGCTCGCCAGTGCCATGAATGAGGTCGCAGCCCGCGACGACATCTGCATCACCATCCTAACCGGCAAAGGCCGCTTCTTCAGCGCAGGCGCAGACGTAGCTTTTGGCGCGCAAAAAGACGCTTCAGCACTAGACGAGCAACAAATGTATCTCCGGAGCTTCGTCGCGAATAACCTCTTTGTACGTCTCGACCTTTCTCCAAACATCCTTATCCAGAAAAAAATCCTAAAGAAAAAGCTATGGCAAAGCTAATTGAACAAATCACAAACAGATAACCCACGCCTTCTACACCCACCCCAAAATCCTCATCACCGCCCTCAACGGCCCCGCCGTCGGCCTGTCCGCCGCTCTAATCAGCTTCTCGGACTTCATCTACAGCGCCCCACACTCCTTCATCCTCACTCCCTTCTCCTCTCTCGGCCTTGTCACAGAAGGTAATGCCTCCATCGGCTTCGTGCGGCGCCTCGGTCTCGCAAAAGCGAATGAAGCCTTGATAATGAGTAAGCGCATCACCAACGAAGAGTTGCTAGCCACAGGCTTTGTGAATAAGACGTTCGATGCGGGGAATGTGAAGGATGAAGGATACAGTGACAGGTTTTTGGGACAGGTGCTGGAAGAGGTGGAGGAGAGGCTGGGGGATCACTTGAATAGGGAGAGTCTGGTGCAGATTAAGGCGTTGATTCAGAAGCCGATGCGGGATGCACTGGATAGGCAGGGAGTTGAGGAAGTGATGGGTGGGTTGAAGAGGTTTTTGAAGGGTGTGCCGCAGGAGGAGTTTAGGAAGTTGGCGTCGGGGGAGAAGAAGCATAAGCTATAGGTTTTCTCTTCTGATTTGTTAGACCTGTTGGAGATTCAAGGCAAAGAACAATTCTTGCAATCAAAAAATGTCCAATGATTACTACTTGAATCTCACTACTTATCCAAGCGACACCCCCTCCGTGGCCAACAGCTCTCCCCCCAACGCATCCCTCGCCGTCGGACTCACAGGCTCGCTCCCCAACTCCTCCATCGGACTCGGCCGATGCGGCGGCGGCGCACTCTGCTTCCTCTTCTTCTCCTCTTGCTTCTGATGCTGCACATAACTCGTATACCGCAGCGCCACAAACAACATAAACGCCGATACTCCCACTGTAATCGCCGCGCGCCTCGTAAGCACCCAGCGTAGCGCCTCGACTTCTGAGCGCGCATCTGAATTGAGCGCGACTGTAATTTTGTAGTTGAGTTCTTGGATCTAAAGCTACGTTAGCCACATGTTCTGTATCCTCCCAAAACAAAATATGGGATGGAAGCAAAACATACCTTCGTCTCCATCGCCCTCTGCTCCATCCTCACTGCCATCTTCCTATCATCAAAAAGTCCCTTGAGCTCATCCTTCAACCCCCCGGTTTCCTGGCTCAGTCTCTGCCCCAGAATATCAACTTCATGCTGCAATTGCCCTCTCTCCTGGCGCATGCGCTCCATCTCTCCTTTACGTGCATTCCCGATTTCAGTCTTCAGCTCGCTGCACGCGGCGCGGAAGAGATAGGTCTCGTTTTCGACGTTGGATTTGCTGACAAGGCCTTCGCGGGCGAGCGCCATATTGGAGAGGAGGGTTTGTCGCACAGCTTTCATGATGGTGATGGATTGGTCTGGGGTGTAGGAGGATTGGGAGAGTTTGCGCACCAGGCCGTAGGTGTCGAAGTGGTGGACGTAGGGGGGTGTTTTGAGGTGGGGTGGTTTGTGGGATTCTTCTTCGGCGGCCGTGGGGATGTGGAGGACGCTGTCGACGGGTTTGGTGTCGTTGGTCTTGAGGGGCTCAGGCGGAGGCGTTATTATGGGTTTTTCTTCAGAGGCGCTGGGTTTGTTGGGGGTTGGTGGGCTGGATGTTGCTGCTGGCGCATTGCCTTCTACTTCTTCTTTGCTAGGAACTTGGTCTTGGGAAGGCTTTCCAGCGGTTGCTGATCCCTTCTCTTGGGTCTCGCGTGTCGCGGGCTTTTGCTGCCCTGAAGCAGCATGCTCATAGGCTTTCCCATATCTCTGTGTGCTGGGTTGTTCCAATTGACATGGCGTTGTAGTCAGATGCCGCCGTGCTTGTCGCGTATGAGGCGCGTTTCCTTTTACTCTAGAGGCATGTGTGCGTGCCGATTTTATTGGCCTGAATAGCGTTGGCCACAGAAACGGCAAATTTGGTGCGCTCATGTTGTTGGTGAAGAGTCAGAGGAGCTCAAACTTTGGAGGTGATTTCGTCATTTCAACATTTCGGGTGATGTAGGGACAGCTAGCGTAGTGGGGATCTGACGGGAAATGATTCCCCTCAAAGGCAAAGGTTAGAATTTAAACCCGCGAAAACCAAACCTTGAATTACTGAACGCTAACAATTTTCTCCACATTTACTATGTAAAGAAGTTATTCTAAAATCTTCACTAGTAGTTGTATCTCTAGAGCTTAATAATGCTCTATGAAGCTACAGGCATGGATGAACACAGGTCGAATTCCACATCAGCAATCTCGATTTAAATTGCACAACCACGAAGAGATAAAATTGTACACCACATATGAGTTTATACCAGCAAACTTGTAAACCCGGAGAAAATCTTCGAAGTTTTTGTTCACATAGCTGTCTTTTGAGCTCCTACTTCGACTCAGAGTCAGCAGGCAACGAATATCCCTGCGCACAGGATATGTCATTTCGTATATCACGCCCAACGTCTACGGTACCCCAACTCTTGATAACTTCCTCAAAGTCCACTTCCTTAATATACCGCTCCATGGCAGCAACCTTCGTTTCTCTACGCTTCTCTACAGCCGCCACGCGAGTTAGCTGGTCGGTTTGAGAGTCCTCGAGGCGCCTCTGAGACTACCTGAGATGCCTTTGCAGATCCTGTCCATAGTTTAGCGTATCTGAGAAAGTGGCCAGGATCGTGTCGAACAAGTTGACGACCGTGGTGAGCGAATCACGCAAAGTGCTGAGGCTGACAATGCTGTCATGAACTTGTCCCAATCCATCTTGCTGTAGAACGTCTTGAACGTGTTTCTAAGCACCAAGCCGTCAACCCTGGTCGTGTTCTTGAAGGCAATAGCTGAGCCACTTCCAACAGTCAGGGCTGCAGCCGCACCCACAAACATGACGGCGGCAGTATCAGCAGCCAGTCGAAAGATGTAGTCTTTGAGTTCCTTTCGCTTGGCCGCAAGCAGCTCGTCAATTGGCTTGCTCTTTAACTTGCAGGCGTTACGGTCATGCTTGATCTTTTGGAAAAGTGCCTGCAACTCCTTGCATGACTTCTCAAGGTCATCATTGGCAGCACCGACATATTACGAGGCATAGATGATGGCTTACTGCGTGCCCGTATAGAAAGTTTCCCAACGAATGTGATTATCTTCAAGCCTCTTGACGCAGTGACTCTAGACCAAGACTGCGGAACCGATGCGGTTTACAGCCTTGGAGATGGACCTAAATATCTGGACCTACATTACCACCGTCTCAGCCATGCCTGGGTGTAAATAATATGATTCATGGGTGTTATTGTAGGCCTTGAGCGCCTGCACATGTGGTAGGACCATGCTAGCTCTTACAATGTCGAAAAACTGAGAAGTCTTCTCAGTCCCATCCGCCAACAGGGTCGCCATGATTGGATGGGCTTGTATGGCGAGTTGCATAGGATCTTCGATCTGACCTTGGAAGGCGTCCACATCGTTATCTTCCCCTCTTAGAGCTTCGAGCGCGAAGAGTGTCTTTGCTGTTGCTGCGGCGCCGCGGTCCCCAAGTACAGCAGAAATGTTGATATGAGGGTTGACGTTGAGCAGGCAGAGGACCTCTTGTGCATCCTTCAGTAGCTCTGGCCATTAAATACCAACGATCACATCGGCATTCAACGTGACATCGTTATATCTCATCCTGTATATCTTTTAGAGTCATCCAAATACTGCCGAACTGGGCACTATGTTTCTGTACAAGACCAGCCTATGAGATATGTGGTTCTGGTTAGTATAATCTAGCTCAGCTAGCTGATATGTCAGCTCTCGATGCCCATTGAACAAATAATCCAGCTAAGCTACCAGATATGATAGGTATGACTGATCTAACAAGCTGACTGGACTAAATGCCCATTGATATGGCTGCTCCGACTACTCCAAGTACCCGCTTCCCCAGCCGGCTCAGCTAGACCAATGGACATCTGGTGCAGCTAGACTGGTCAGATTAATGGGTGCATTAATCATCATCCAAAGTAGCAAGCGGGACGGTTCGTTGGCCTGTCGCTCTAAACGACACAAACCAATCACGTTCGGAACCACACAGCGTCACCGATCACCACTGTACTCATAAACTTCAAACTTAAGCGACGCCATGCAGGTGATATACGCATGATGCAACAGTTTGCATCAACTTTGACAAACTGAAATTCCCCTTTGGTAGCTCCGACACAACGACATCCCACACACATCAAGAGTAGACCCTCGCCGATCTCGTATCTTGAGTTTCATGGCGTCTCCAAAGCCTTGTCATTCTCGAATGACCTTGTAGAGTGGCTGAGAAGCTGAAAGGCTGAGAGACTGGAAAGCTGACTATATACAGTGTCTTGCAGCAAGCTAAAGCAGAATCGAGGATCGAACCGCAAGTCTTCAAGGGCCTGGACTTAAGCATTATAGATTTGAGAAATCATATAAGATGAAGAGAATCCAAGGCAATAGTCATCGATCAGTCCCCAACCTAAACATCCTTTCTTACTTGCCAAACTGGCCGAAGCATTTGAATTTGATTCCTGGTGTGGTGATATCAACAAACGTGCAATCACAGCACTAACCTCCGGTCGAACCAACCCTAGTGTCACTCCGATGGCGGATAATAAAGTCATCCCCGTCTCAGAACTCACCAAGTATCCCTGCGATACGCAGGAGGAGACAGATCCTTCTTTAGGCCCTGTCCCGATCTCCAACCGAGCCGGCACCACCAGCGATAACAACCCAGACGAGCCCGACTCCATCGTCGTCGGCTACGACGCCATTGTTCCCCGCTGGGATATCCGTACCACCAAGGGAAGAGTCCTCCAATACTTTGTGCAAGAAGACACCTTCACGTCTCCCGAGCAAGCGCGAATCGCAGCTAAAGCCTTCCAGGAAGCCGCTGATACATGGAACGAGCTCGAGCCCGGCGTCTCCATCTCCAAGACGAACAATCAGGATACCGCACACTTTTACCTCGTGTACAAGCCCAATCCTACCGTGGGACCGGGCCGCAACACGCTGGCGCGCGCTTTCTTCCCGCATGAAGTCGACCAGGACGTCATTGTCTTCTCGCGCGCCTTCGATGCGGACGCCGTGCCCATCTTGAAGAACATCTTCCAGCACGAAATAGGGCATATACTCGGTTTGCGCCATGAGTTCGCCATTACTGGGGATGCGGGCAACGGTCTCCCGCCAGAGGCCCAACGAAAGACCCTAAGCCGATTATGAGCTGCAACTTCCCACCCACAATGCAGGACATCGATCGTGAGCAGATTGCTAAGTTCTACAAGCTGAGAAATGGGTATAAGATAACAGGTGGTCCAGTCACTGACGTTCAGCCTCAGATTCGACGGAGGAACAGGTAAGGTGTTGTTGTAATGATAACGTTGTAAATTGAGCCGAGAAGTGCGCCAGGGATGACGTCTAACCCCAAGTACAATACAAATAAAGATACAAGAAAAAAGCTTCGTCCACTTTCCTACATCGCCTCCTTTTTTCCGTCGTAGATTCCAACCCTAGCAATGAATACTTCTTCACTTAGCAGTTTGCACTTCCGCCAACGCCATGCAAATGCATCAACAGGAAGTTCCTCCCCTTATCCCCCACTTGCAGAGAAAAAAATCAAACAAAACTTTTGTGTGTATGGTAATCAAAACCCTGGGTATATTTTTTTCAATGCCGATTGAACACCAAACAACAAACAACTTTTGGTGCGCAACATCAGACCTCGTGTGAAGAGCTGCTAATGGAGCTGCGGCTGGTGCCATCAGTAACATGAGTCGCGATGCTAAGCCGCTGAAACGGCGAAACGAGATTCTGTTCTCTCGACGGTGGGCTCGAGAGGCCTTGACCTGCAGGTGGTGATATTGGTGGTGGGTAGCTTGGTGGAGCATTGCTTGCACCATATCGTTCTCGGAGACGTTTGATCTCGCGCAATCTGTTGCGCCAGGACGAGCTTGATTCGCCTCCTTCGCGGATGAACCATACGCTAGAGAAGACCACTGCGTTGATTGCAATCAGACGGCAGTAGTCTGCAAGGTATTTGCCACAAAGAATTTTGGTCTCAACAGCAGGGGATATGTCGGGGAAGCCAGGTTTTGAAATAGCCTGTACTTTGTAGTACCGATTTCTGCCCTCTGGGTCTGCATCCAGCCGGCGGTCTACAAAGCTGGCTCGCGACTCTGGGGAAATGACAATATGTACGTAATTGAACTGCGAGGGAAAGGTATCAAAGTTGTAGGGTAGGCCGGAGTCGTTAAAGATGATGTTGACGAAGTCGTTGCCGATATGGCGCTTCTTGTTAGGATAAGTCATTTCATCGTCGCGGTTCGTAGGCATCATTGTTGGGATGTGGAAAACGAGTTCCATACAGCGATCACGCCAACAGTACGTGAACTCGCCGTCCATGTCTTCGCGTGTGTCGAGACCTCCAGTGTTGAATTTGGCGCCCTTCAAGCGGCAGAGGGTGCCTAGGTCACTGAGGAATGATGTGTATGCTGGCGATCCGATATCATTCATGAAAATCTCCCTCTCGTTTGTTTGCCCTTCGCCAATGTAGATGACTCCTACTTTGTAGTTGTCAACCGTTGCGATTCTGTCAAAAGAAGCAATAGCACGGCGTGTTGGCTCATCGTCGGGTAGAGGAATTGGCGGATTAGTGAGGTCGAGAGGTGCGTAGAAAGATTGAAAGATGTCTTCTGGTAGAATGCCAACATAGGAGTCGGAATAAAATGCTTCGGAAGCAAGACCAATTGTGATGGGTACTTGATGCCGTGGGGGTGACGTAAGCAGTGGTCGGACTTTGATGTATCTAGTCCCGCACTAAGGACATTTAGCAGACTGCTCTGATCTGTTCGATGGTGAGGGGTTACTTACTGGTCGGCGCGTTGTTACGAGAGACGTGCCAGTCCTGGCAGCAGTCTCTATTGTCACTATGCTGTTGCCCACAATCCAAGTCTTTTTCCAAATCTCGCCATCTCCAGGTTTGGCAGAGAATTCTTCGCGTGTCGTCTCATCGCGGTCTGTGTATGCTACCATGTTCATGATATCTACAATGACCTGCCCTTGTTCTTCCATGACTGGACGGCCAGAGCTGTCTGTAAAGTACAAGTTCTTGGTGATCCACGGTATTTGTTTCGGCCGATCTTCCATCTTCAAGGCCATGAACCAGAACGTAATGACATGATAGGCGAGCGAATTCAGGTATTGAGGAAGATCATCCTCAACGCTTCTTGGTTTCGTTGCGCCAAAGTCTGATGTTGTTGCAAAGTCCCTTGATGTACCGCTGTGTCTCAGAGCCCGATGGCCGTTTTGGGTTGGGTTTCCATTCGTGCGGCCCTGTTGATCGCGGATGTGTTGCAAATAGCGGAAGCACACTCCAAAGACAAGCTTGAACTCGTCTTCACGAAAGTTCTTGAAGAGCTCCGGAAGGCGAGCCATGGATACCAAGAACTCCAGGATGTGTATCGCTGTAGCTGGCTTCGTGATGATTTGCGACATCTTCTGAACGATGCTGTCGAGAGATTTGCTGACCGAGAGTGGAATTTCAAAACAGCATACAGAGAGCGCGTGGATACACCATTTTGATGTTCTGTCCCACTGTACGATGCCCTGCAGAAATGCTTTGACCAGATCATCTTCCTCGCTCTTTTCAAAGTACTCGTGGTAACTGATGAGAACCGTCAAAGCGTGAAACAGGCAAACCGCTACGTCGGCCTTTTTGAGAAGAGTGTGGGGTGGTGGTTCGTGGAAGCTTGCGTTTCGTACTTGTTCACAAAGAACATTTCGTAGCATTCGAAGTTGGACAACGCAACTGCGGACTAATGCTTGGTTAGAGAGTTGAGGGCCAAGATGTGTAAGAACATAAGAGTATATCTCCCAATCAGGCGGTCTTTGGAGCAGGGAGATGATCAATTCGAGCCACAATGTGATTTCCATGTCCAAGATATTGTCGCTAAGAGGATACTCTGAGGCATCTATGTGTGAGAAGACAACTCGACTGGATTCGTGCGATGGTTCTTCGGGAAGGCCCCTCGGACCAGGATACATCCATAGAGGTGGTATCGGCCTTGATACGCGACCTGCAGCGGCAACCTGGCGCCCAGAGTGGCGATTGAGAGAAGAACGTGGACTAGTTCCAGAGGTTTTCCGATTCTCCCTCCAGGAGGGGTGGTCTTCCGGTCGAGCGTGGTCCCCCGGCGTAGTTTCATCGATCCGTTCAGTGACAGCTGTTTCCTCTGTGCGGCATAACTCGGCAGCAATCCTCTGGCCTTCGGATGAAGAGTTGACTATGAGAGCAAAGCGAGCGTCTGCACGCAAACGGAACAATAGCTTGAGAGCTGTTAGACGCGCATCATGCGCGTATTTATCGCTCCCAGCAATTTCCCGCAACAGTTCGTAGAGAAGGCGGGTCTTCTGCGCTGAATGAATAACGCTACGAGTAAACAGCCGTACATAGACAGTAGTGATTACATTGCATGGGGAACATCCGTCATCTTTTGTGGAAAATGGATGGGGCTGCCACGGTGCGGACGGAACTGGTTGTGCGGGCTGCGGGCGATCCAGACGTTTCTTCAAGAGACGGACCACATGGGAGAAACGATCAAAAGACGCTTGATCGGCAACGTACAGGGCAAAGTCTACAAGTTCCTGCAAAACCTCAATGTCGTCTTCGGGCTCAAGTCGGTTGAGCAAAAGGTCTTGGCATTGAAACACGGCATCACCCTCACACAACAACTCTACGGTACTGTAAGTTTCCCGCAGCACCTGTATCACCAAGGTACGAAGTGAGCGTGGCCGGGTAGAGTCGCTGAAGATGCCTGTAATAAGGCATTGGCAAAGATGCAACCAATCTTCGTTTGAGGGGTTGAGATAGCGTTCGTCTGCAAAGTAGCGGATGGTTCGTTCCGCTGTTGCGTCGCTCACACGATGTGCAAGACGCAAAAAGACATTCATGGCCGCTTCCCGCTGGACAAAATCAAACGCGTCGCTGAGATGGTCTAGCTTAGCCAATACTTTGAAAATGCCGTCTGCAGCATCTCGTCGCGAAAACTCGTGCTGTGATGCCGTACGTTGATCGTGTGGTCCTCTATCGTCGTCGTGCTCCATTCCGCCAATAGGCGGCGAGTACGAGGCAAACCGATGCCGGGCCATAGGACGTCCATTGCTCGATCTGTTATCATCGGGGAGAGATATTTGTCTGTCAAAGGAGGCTTTCTTTTCGATACTGAGGGTATCTGATGTCTTGGCATCTTTGGCGCGAAGGCGGTCATCATCACGCTCAGCACATACACAGATTACCTCGAGCAAGTCTCCCAAGTCGCTCTCGGCCAGGAGTAAGTCTCTCATACCGTCTTGATCGAGAACGGTGTCTATCAAGCTGATGATGATTTGTTCCTGATCGGTATTGGGCCTTTGGATGGATGCTTTCAGCGCAGGGAATAGTAATGACATCGGCACCTTGGGCAGTTCATTGCGGCCATTTTCCAAAAGAAGAAGACGCAGGACTAGGGTAGTGCCTGTATACATGCTGTCGAGCCTTTTTTTGTCAGCATCCTGTAAGTTGTCCTGCGTGGGGCCATCCAAGAGCATATGCAACAAGACAGATATCGCAGCCTGGCCAACATGGGACTTGAAAAGGTTGCTTAAAGTATTCCACGCCTGGTCTTGAAACCCAGGGATCCTCTTGTGAATTTCGCTCAGAACTTGTAAGCAAGGATGGAGTGACTTCGTGGGCACATGGACGTAGGTGATGATCGTGTCAAAGAGCTTGATTCCACACTCGACGTCAGGCCTGTAAAACGTGGCTTTGCAAATGGCGACAGTTCTTCTGATCAAAAGATCCAGGTCGTCGTCGGTGAAGACCTTGGCGTTGAATTTGCAAATGTCAATGGCAAATTGGAATGCGCGGAACATGTTGGCGACCTCTTGCGGTGGGTTCGCAGCCGCTTTCTTTCCATTTGATTTGCTCCTCTGGGCGTTCAAGGCGTCTTTGCTGGCTAGGAAACAAGTGTCTAGCGAGGTCAAGACAAAAGAGACTATGCCCGCCTCGCAAGACTCCACATCGCGACCATCGTGCGTGAGGGTGGTGACAACCTCAAGTCTTTTGTCGAAAAAGCGATCGTTCTTACGCAAACAGGCCGCGTCGAAGAAGACGGTGCGCTCAATGCTGGTCAAGTTGGCGAGTGAGGCGCAGGCCTTGAGGAGCTTGTAGCCCACTTCAGCGACATCGTCTGGCTGCTCGGGAAGGAGCAGGTCACTGGCCACGGACCACAAGGCCAGGACGTTCTGCACAGGGTACTCATGGAGGATGGCGCATATCTTTTCCACAACCGCGGCCCTGTCCGCAAACGGGTGGCTCCGGTCG